TAGTAAAAATAAAATTAAATAAAACAATCAAAAAAAACACACACACACACACACACACACTTTTAGTGAATTTGTGAGTGTGTGTTACCAGTGTAAGTGTGCTGAGTCGCCTCAGTTTCTCTGTTGGCTGCAGTAAACTCCACACTGGATGACCTGCGGTTGTTCACATTCGGGCCTCTCCTGTTGTTTGGAGCCGTGTTTGGTTTGTTCCTGTTGGTCCGCCGCAGGGCCTCGATGTTGGAGTACAGATCCTTCATCAGGGCCATGAGCTCAGTAGGGACGCCGCGGTCCTGCAGCGTCTTCAGCGGATGCGGTTCGTAGAAGTCGTGAGCGCGCGTGCAGTCGCAGTGACCCTGCAGGTAGCGCTCGCAGATGTGCAGCCGCTTACAGGCCTCCGCGTCCAGACAGCGGCCGTACTCACCCACGCCATTATTATAGGAGTGACACACCTGAGAAACACACCTGCTTCATTAGACCACTGCTGGTTAGACCACTGTAGACCCCAGTATCTGACATCAGTATCTAATTCAGGCAAACTCATGCTAATAAATCTGATCCGGAAGCAGATCAGGTTAACATTAGTGTGTGATGGAATAGATTATATTATTGACCTCGAACTGTAGTGTGTGTGTGTGTGTGTGTGTGTGTGTGCTCACCGCCGGCAGGAGTGTGTTGTCGCTCTGCAGAAGCAGGATCCGCAGCTCTTTCAGGTCGAGTGTGTTCAGGCCGTTAGCCATCAGAACCATCAGATTATGAGCAGAATCGAGATCATGACTGAAGCGGCATCCTCTCCTGTGGAGCAAAACACAGTCATCACGCTTCTGAGCTCAATCTGACTCCATTATGTTGACACGGTTTAGAGCAGGGGTCACCAAACTTTATGAAACTGACAGCTACTTCTTGGGTACAGATTAATGTTGGTGACCCCTGGTTAAGAGTTACAATCATCAAACTCATCATTTCTTTAAGGAGTACCGCAGGGTTCAGTACTCGGACTGCTGCTTTTCACATCGCATCTGAATCCCGGTGAGGATTTCATCAGAAGCGGTTCATTTCTGCTGCTGAGAGGATGTGTGTCTGCATCATAATGTCTCTAGGATTAAATGTGAAGCAATACTGTAATCAATCTCCAGCCCTGACACGGTCACTGATGCTGTTATCAGTTTAGTTTTTAGCTCATGCATGATTGTGCTCCATCATATCCAGTGACGTGTGCCCACATGACAGATTCAGGGTGTGGTTTGCTTCACACACACACACACACACACACACACACACAAACACACACACCTATGACAACCAGATTAAGAATGTAAACATCAAATCATTGTAGTGACTGCACAATCGAGTTTAATAAACTATATGACTATACTGCAGCAGCTTCACTACAGTGATGGTGTGGGTGTTCTGATGTACATCTGCTCCAGGATGGAGTAACACATGTCCTTTCTCACGTCTTTATGATTATTAATAAAGTTGTTTGAATTTACCCAGCCAGATCAGCCTTGGGTAAAAAACAGAGTGTACTTTGTGTGTGTGCGTGTGTGATCTATTCATTTGGGGACCATTTCACAGGTCTGGGGTCAGCTCTGAACAGTCTAGTCACTGTCTGACTTTTGTGTGCTTGTTCAGAATTGTATGCACACACACACACACACACACACACACACACACACACATGTTGAAATTTAAAGTCTATCTGTGTTTTAACCAGTCAGGTCAAACACCTGTATGTACAGTATGACGCAGTTATTGACGTTATGTGAGAGTATAATTGTTGATGTTTTGAGATTGAAAGCAGAGCTGCGTATGAACTCTGTGTGAGTGTTGAAGCTGGCCTCTGCTGATGAAACTACACTATCTTCAAATGGATCTCTGACTGCGGCTCTTCTTCATCTGACAGACTGGGCATTTTTGGGTTCAAACTGTTGGTTCCTCATACAACAGTAAACTGTGGTGTGTTGTAGTATAATATACCCTACGGTTGTCGTAAAATACCAACACAACAGATTAATGTAAATACTTAATTAGCATTTAATTAAGCATATTTAGTTTCCGTGTGGGAATACCGAATACAGTTTTCGCAACCTTATGTAATCATAAATACTTCAAAATTCCCGCAAGATTAGTGTTTAAAGATGACTTTGTGGTATAAGTGAAGATGTCAAGAGATATGAAAAGTCAAAGCAAGAGACTGATTTACTTTATTTGGTTTCATATTTTGAGATCTTCCATGCATTATCTAATGTATTTTTATTTGTTATTGTATTATTTCACTATATATATTTCTATTGTAGTTATTATTATTATTAATAATAATGTGGATGTGAAGACTGTAAATGTAAATTGATTGTTATCTCAGTCTTTTTGTGTAATTCTCGTCTGTCTGTTTTTGTTCCAGCATTGTCAACAATACAAGACTCGTGAGTCATTTGATTCATGACTCCCTATATGCCTTCCGTGATCATTTGAATCATAATTAATAATTTCTAAATAGTTACTGTGCTACCATAGCAACTGTATAATTACCAAAACAGATGAATGCAGGTATCTTTCTGTAGTATGGTTCAGTATTTTTCTTCATGTGAGGATACTAAATCAACCGTAGGCTACACAATAGGGAAGTGACTCGTGAGTCATTTGATTTATGACTCCCTATGCCTTCAGTGATTACTTAAATCATAATTAATATTTAATCAAGGGTTATGATAGCAACTGTAGAATTGCCAAAATTATAGATTAAATCAACTACTTCACTATTGTATAATTCAGTATTACTATGTTTTCATACGGGAAGTCAAGTGACTCGCGAGTCATTTGATGTATGACTCCCTAGATAATTCGAATCTATCGGGTTTTAAAAACAGTTCAATTCAATAAACAGTATATTTTAGTTAATAAGCAGATCTACCTTCCTCTGTCGAAACGGCAAAACCCGAACAGAAAGCCTTTGCACAGGTGCAGGTTGTCGCAGGCGGGGCAGTTCTGAATCCGACACAGGCGCACTTTGGTACGGACGATGACTCGCTTCTGTCCGCTGAAGAAGCCGACCGTGCAGTTCTCACTGCGGCTGATGAGCACATCCAGGACATCCTGAGCCTCATCATACATGCCCAGAGCAGACAGCAGGTCCGCATAGGCGATGGAGCCGTTATTAGCGCAGATATTCTTAATAATCGCCGCCTCCGTCATGCTGCACAACCGAGTCTGGAGCAGTTCAGTTCAGTTCAGTTCATCATCTGATTCTGACGGCGGACAACACGAAAGGAAAACGAAACTTAAAGGTTAGAAGGGATACAGCTGCGCGTCATTTTTGTGACAATGTAGAATAATAAATATAATTTTTACATTACCGTGATGGTTGAAATAAGGATAAGGGTTTTTAAAATACAAGTTAATGGGTAATTTGATAAATAATAATATTCATAATTATCGTTGACTTCCGGCCGCAGCTGTATCCCTTCTACCATCAACCCTTTAAGCAAACAGTTTAGAAGGGATACAGCAAAGTCGCAGTAATATAATATATTCCTTTAAAATCTGTTTTAACACATTTTCAATGTTTTTAATGATTTTGTCTGTGTTGTTTTTCATTTCTGATACTTTCATTTTGTTTCTTTTATTCAATTGTTTATGTAAGTAAAGCACTTTGAATTACTCGTGTGTGAAATGTGCTATATAAATAAACTTTCCTTAAATAATATTTTTACATGTATGTGAGGGTTGAGGTAGATGTTAATTAAAATACAATTTAATGGGTAATTTAATAAATAATATCATTTTCAGACTGTTGAGCCATTCTAGCAACAGCCGCAGAAGTCTAGAAGGGATACAGCTGCGGATACTCACGTCACATGACATTATCATAATTTCTGCCACACCGCACAACAATAAATAATATTTTTACATTATTGTGAGGGTTAGGTTTAGTGTTAGGTAGATGTAGATGTTAATAAAATACAACATAATGCCTAATTTATTAAATAATTACTGTTTACATTACTGTGGAAAACGAAACTTACCCTGCTGGAGTAAACAGTGCGCGTTACTGTGGTGCTAAAGGTCGAACAACTGCAAACAATCAAGAACAACAAACTGCAGAGTTGATCAAGATGATTACAAACATGAATAAACATTATAGTAAATATTATCACAAGCTAATATATTAAAACAACTGAAGTCTTTAAATAATAATAATAATAATAATAATAATAATAATAATAATAATAATAATAATAAAGTTTTACTCTGTTTATTTAATTTGAGATCCTATAATTTTTCCAGGGAAGGAGTCAATTATTTTGTTTTGGCTGTAACAAAATCGGTTAAATTAAAAAAATATATCAATAGACAACATTTATTTATTAGCCCCCTTAAGCCCCTAGAGCTCCCCTAGTATTGGGTCATTTGTTTATATTACAATAGATGTTGGCTTACCACAGCCACTGTAGAATAAAAAAAATACAGATTAAGTACTTCAATGTTTACTATTTTTGATGGATATTGGTGACTTAAGCATGTTTCTTTTTTAACAGGAGCTAAACGTTAATCATGTCTGACTAATTTTTCCCACAGTTCTGGCCTTTTCCACAATCATCATTTAAGTTTAGTTTTAATTCTTGTTTGAAATCTTGTTTAAACCCTCATAACTAAATGAATCACAGCTCATGTGTTTGCAATTTCCTCCACTAGGAGTCAGTGTGAGTCAAGATAATCCCCAAATAAACCTCTGCACTTTCACGTGTTTTAGTTATTATTAAATGTATTTTTCCATTTTAATGAAAAATTATAGATTACATCACTGTATAAATGTATTTTATATGACTTAAATTACATTATAAGTGCATATATTTAGAGAATAGACAGTAATCCCCCTGAAATAACTGGAGTTTTATATGTAGTAGTGTGTGAAAACGTGTTTTACATAAATGAAGGAATAATAACTGAAGCTATTTAAAGGAGATTAAAGCATATGACTTCATATACTGCTCTAAATGTGGTAGTGACGTTTTGGTTTTTGCCTCTGAGGGTTTTTTTGTAACCAAGAAAATAAGAAATATTTATTTCTGAATAATTCATACATTTAATGTCATTAAAACATTGACTCTCTCTGTGTTTAAAGGTGATATTGATGCTATTTGCTCTTTTTTTTCGGGAAATGTGTCTGTGTTTATTAAGGAACAAAACACTTAACATACAAAACTGCACTGTGTGTGTGTGTGTGTGTGTGTGTGTGTGTGTGTAGTTGAGGTCAGAATTATTAGCCCCCTGAATGGGGAGATTCGTCGAAACACATTTCTAATAATAATAGTGTTAATAACTTATCTTTAATAACTGATTTATTTACTCTTTGTCATGATTACAGCACATCATATTAGACTAGATATTCTTCAAGACACTAGTATTCAGCTTAAAGTGACATTTAAAGGCTTCACTAGGGTAATTAGGGTAACTAGGCAGATTAGGGTAATTAGGCAAGTCATTGTATAATGATGGTTTGTTCTGTAAACTATTGAAAACAAATATAGCTTAAAGGGGCTAATAATA